CAGAATTACAGGCATGTGCTACCATGCCTGGCTGATTTTTTTGATTTATTGTAGAGATGAGGTCTCACTGCCCAGGCGGGTGTTGAACCCGCGGGCTCAGGCAATCCACTCACCTCAGCCTCCCAAAGGCGCGGGATTACAGGCTGAGCCACTGAGCCCGGCTATATTTTGTATGTTTTAGCTAAAAACTAAAGTCCTTATTTCCATTTTTCCATTTTATATGTGGCATATTGTAGCTACCCAGTCACTGTCTCCTTGTGTTTAATATCTCCTTTAAGTACAAATAACTTTGCTAGGGTTATTTAAATGTATGGTTTTACTAATTTGAATGTAGAAATGAATGTGAATTTTTTTAATATCTATCTTCATTTAATCTCAATATTTTTATTGATATAAAAATTTCTCTTTTTTTTGAGTTGTTGTCTCACTCTGTCACTCAGGCTGTGTGCAGTGGCAGCTCCCAGCCACCACAGCCTCGACCTGCTGGGCTCTGGTGATCCTTCTGCCTCAGTCTTTGAAATAGCTGGAACTACAGGTGCACGCTACCATGCCCGGCTAATTTTTTAATTTATTGTAGAGATAAGGTCTTGCCAAGTTGCCCAGATGGGTCCCGAACCTGCAGACTCAGGCAATCCACTCACCTCAGCCTCCCAAAACGCGGGATTATAGGCTTAGACACCGAGCCTGGCCGATATAAAAATTTCTAAGTCAAACTCTCTCTGAATAGTTTTATAGAAGGATGCTAGAATAGAATGGACTCCACATGTCAGTTGCAGTCAAGATGCACATGCTGAAAATGACCAGAACAGATAAGCAAACTCATAACCACCTAGTCAGCATTCTCATTTTACTTATTACTTCTAATCCCACCATTAATATTGTATACACCACAAATATAACCACACATACACAAAAATCACAAATATACCACACACACTTACACGTACACATATAATTTTCAAAAACATTGGATTGGATGCTCTAAGGTTGTGCTGTCCAGCACTGAAGATACTGGCCTCCTGAGGCATTTGGGCACTTGAAATGTGTATAGTCTAAACTGCAGTGTGCTCTTAGTATAAAATAAACACAAGACTTCCTAGACTTAGAAAGAAAACAAAATTAAAAGATTGAATTAATAATTGTATCTTAATTACATGTACAAATTATAATATGTCAATATGAGCATAAATATGATTACATTAATAATATATGTATAAACATTAAATTTGTTGCATATAATATATTAAAGTAATACACTGTATAATTAACATCAATATCATTAATCTTAATGTTGATTATAATATAGTTTTGAATGAAATAAATATATTACTTGTTAATTTTACTGTTTAAATGTGTCTAGAATTTTAAAGTCTATTTCTATCAAATAGCATCACTCTAGGGTGTTCTAATCAACATGGAGAAAGAAAGAAAGAAAGAGGAGAAGGGACAGTTATGAGTATTATTTCAGGGAAAAAAGTATCCCAAACACTCTTCTCATTGCCCCCAAGACTTCCTTATTCCTCAGGCTGTAGATAATGGGATTGAGCATGGGGGTGAGGAGGGTGTAGAAGACTGCCAGGATCTTGTCTTCTGCTGGTGAGCGGAGACTCCTGGGCCTGAGATAAGTGTAGACAAAAGGTGCATAGTAAAAGGTCACTACAGTTAAATGTGTTGAACATGTGGCAAAGGCCTTTATTCTCCCCTCTTTTGAGTGCATATGGTAGACTGCAAATAAGACCCGGCCATAGGACACAGTGATACCAAAGAAAGGAAGAAGGAGAAAGAGGGTTGTGCTCACAAAAACCATGTACTCATAGACCCAAGTGTCCATACAGGCAAGAGGCAGCATGGCTGGGACATCGCAGAAGAAATGGTTAATGGCCCTAGACCTGCAGTAAGGAATATGGAGGGCATAGACTGTGTGTGCCAGGGAGTTGATGGACCCCAGTGTCCAAGAACCTATGATCATCTTCACACACACCCTTTTACTCATGTGAATGAAATAATGGAGCGGGTGGCAGATAGCCACATAACGGTCGTAGGCCATAGAGGCCAGGAGTAAGCCTTCAGAACATGCCATGGTCAGGAAGAAGAAGCTTTGCACCCCGCATCCCATAAAAGAGATGCATTTCTGGCCAGAGAGGAAGTTGAACACCATCTTGGGCACAGTGGTAGAAATGTACATCAGATCCATGAGGGAGAGCTGGCTGAGGAGAAGGTACATGGGTGTGTGGAGTCGGGGGTCCAGGCATATGAGGTGAATCATGATGGAGTTGCCCACCAAGGCGAGGGAGAACACAAGGATGATTAGGAACAGGAGAAGTAGGCCAGTTTGATTTGGGGGAACCAATCCCAACAAAATGAAATCATTTGAAGTACAATTCCATTTCTCCATGAAAACTTACTGCTTTAACTTCCTTGAAAGAAAAATAAAAACAAAGCACACACCATGAAATGAAAAATGAAACAAAGCATTAGAACAGAAAGGGACTGACTGCATTAATGGTTGTTTAGAATGAATTGGTTTTTCTCCAATACTGCAGATTTTGATGAATGCACTTCACCATCTGAATCGATTGCTATCATTCCAATTGTTTCTGGTATGCATCCCATCAAGTGTTATACATATACATCCTTTCAGTGTAAAGTCTAGCACTGCGTCAGCAAAGATAAACAAGATAACCAAAGCATTCCTTCCTGGGTGACCCCTGACCAGACATATCACTCACTAATTGCCCACAAATTACAGGAACTGAAGAAAGCATTCCCCATGTCTCAATTTAAAGGGAATATTTACTATGGAACCTGGCATGTGACTCAAACTCTGTCTATATTTAAATTCTAAGTCTTCAATTTCCCATTCTTCTTCTATATCTTTAATTTCTGGGTTTACCTCCCCAGATGGTACTATTCCTGCCAGATAAACCTGGATCTTTTCCTCAGTTCTCTATCTTTCATGATCTTTAAAAGTACTTCTGTGCCTTTCTTTAAAAGGTACCCATTTTCCAAAAATCACCATTTTTGAACTGCAAAAATATGTCCTATGAGATCCACCTAATTATACAATGTCATTTGCATATTATTTCCTCAATAAAGATGTTTCCATTTTCTGAAATCCTACAGAACTCAAGTTCAAATGCATAGATTTTCATACATAATTTTCTTCATGTAAGTAAATTATACATAATAAAGGCCACATGACAAAATATACATTCATTTCATTCTATTTTCTATAACTCTACCAATAACTGTGTGATAGTAAAAATAAAATAAGGGAATGAAGATTACTATATATATGCATATTTGTATACATACTGTGCATGTATATATCTGTATGTACATATCCTCTTTCTACATATAGGCATCTTTGAGATGTGAACTCTTCTTCACATTACTTCATTTATTATAATCCTTTCATGACACAAATTCTGAAAATTTAGTCATCTGTACCTTAATCTTTAAGTTATTAAAAGTAGCAGTCATAGATGTGAAAAATAACTTTCTCAAATAGGGAAACTTTCTCAAATCGACTGCATAGATGGCTTCCTCAAATACAGTTAGGAATGGAATCAGAATTTGAACCTGTGTAACTGCTTCAAATTTTTAGAGATTTCAACATTCCAAGCCTACTCATTGTTTGGTAAATGTGTTAATTTGTCCTCATTCAACATATGTTGTGTAATTATTACCCTTCTGTACAAAATCAAGCCTAATCATTCATAATTCGAACTGGTCAGAGCATATGGAGATTAAGGTTTATTTTCTCTCCCTGTAGTTTACACTGCAGATGGCAGCAGGATTGCAGTTGCAAAGCTGTTCAACTAGAAAAGCAGATATGAACAATAGGACATTTTTGACTTATAGCTCATGTGCTTATACATATCCTCTTCAAACTTAAGTAAAGCAACAAAACAAATAAAATTTAATCATAATAAATATAATGTTTATATTTATATTAGAGTAAATATATAAGCATAGTAAAATGATCAAAAATAGGAAAACATGATATATTTCTCTTTTACAAATTTTTTTTCTAGTTTTTCATACCTAGACATTTCAATAGGAATTTTTTAATTTGTAACTCAACTCATTGCAACCTCTCTTTTTTTTTCTCTGTGTCACCCTAATTCTGGAAATTTGTTTTTCCCTTAATTTATCCTGTCAAACATGCATAAATTGCCTGTGTCATTTCTAACATTTCCAGTAATATTTCACTCCTTCCTTTCCCTGGTCTTGGTGTGAGATTTCCTGTCTCATGTGTGCTCCTCTGTCTGAGGGAGACGTTCTGTCTACGATGCCTATGTGGGTAGTCATCTTGGGTTACTGATTGTTCAAAAGTAATACTAACAGTTAATAGTTTGTTGCAATTGTTTACATTAGATAACTTAAAAGCAGTTGTTACTTCATGTAAGTTTAGTAAACATGAATAAAATTGTGAAGCAGTGCTTGTCCCAGTAAAATGCAAATGCACTTTATAACTGTTTAGTTGACAATCACTAACAATGAAAACAGCACACTCAGAACAGTGACAGGTGCACAGCATCCTTGGATGTGGACGCTAGATGGGATCATAGGCATCCTCTGCTTCTTACAACTTTTTAGAACTAAAAAAGATGACCTAACAAATAAAGATAAAATATGTGATCACCACCAATATGATACATTTATTCCCTCAAAAGTTTCTGCTTATGGCAGTGCTGCTAGGTACAATCTGTGGTTAAAATGTAGTGGGACATACAGACAATAGTAGACCAGCAAACTCAAACATACAATCTAATATTGTATAGTGATTAATACTATGAAGAAAAGTAAAACTGAGTAAAGGAACAAATAGACAATTGGATGAGAGCACTTGGAAAAGTCACTACATGGAGATAATATTTGGGGAGGTCAAGTTAAAAAATATTCTACTGAGAGTGAACAGCAGATGGGCATCCCTAATGTGGAAGCCTATATAGCTTACTAGGACAGCAGCAATGAGAAGAAAGGTTTTCAAACACAGAGCATAAAGACATTTGTATAGAAAATAAGGATTTGGATTATATGCTGGAAGAGATGAGAATCCAGGGAGGGTGGTACGATCTTAGGTATGTCTCCAGAACACATGCAGGATGCTCTCGGTGAGTAGGGAGTTGTGAGGAGCGAAATGAGGGCATGGAGGAAACTAGTTAAGGAGAAATCAAAACAATTAGAGATTGTTCACATTTTCAAAAATGAGTCACAGCTCCTGGGGACCTGAGGCTTGGGCATACCAGGAGAGCTGGTCACCATTTTGGGATCAGATAGTACCTGATGAATCATTCTCTCTCTACTGCCTGGCACAGTGATGCTTGCATAGCAAGCAGGCTCTCAACATACCTACCTGATGAAACGAACCAAAGATTTGCCTTACAACTAAATTAATATTATGTCCATACTGATAAAATGTGGCCACACCAGTTCAAATATCAGTCTTTGGCACACGTGCCCTGAAAATTGGGGTATTCCCTTCATTCCTTTGCTCGATCCAGTTTTAAATTGAGAGGAAGGGAAGCACCAACAGAACTTCCAGGCAGTGTGTTTCCAGTAGCAAGCACTGAGCAAGCAGAGTTGGCTCTAAATTTATGTATCTCATGAGCCAGTTGTATTGGAGGGAGACACATGTTTGCATTCTGATTCTCTGCTGCATGGATTAGAACCCGGAGCACCATAAAGATTGTTTGGTGGTAGTTATTACAACAACTATTTTGTTTGCTAAATTAAAAGCTGACATATGGTCAGGCAGTGGCTTTGTAGCCACTCTGTGGCTGCAAAGTGGGTCTAAGATTGGAATCTCCCTTGTTCATCTTTGTCAACCTAAAAAAAGAAATTGAGGACAAATTAATATAGAGAGTTTATGTAGGTCAAGGTTGGGCACTGTGACTGAGAAATCTTCTCAAGTGACCTTGGGAAGTATTCCAGAGAACAAGGGAGAAGCTCAAGTTTTTAAGGACAAAAAGGACAAATCAGGAGAGAGAGTGATTACAAAAGTTGTTTGTCAGGAATTCTCATCGGTTTACAGAAATAATATTGCTTTTTGACGGACTATATACATTGTTGAACTATAGGGTATGAGTTACAGTGTCCAGCATAAGGCACTGCTACATTAGTTTATGGCTATTTGGTGTCAGACAGCCTAGAGTTCAAATAGCAAGTAGCTTCTAGAAGTGATTACTTAGCTCAAGGGGGAACGAGACCTGACTGCTGTCACCTTTCAGTAACTCTCTGGGCCTGATAACTTAAGGGAGGTGGGGAGTTCCATTCCTAAGGTAAAAAGTGTATTTTCTTTCTCATTTTTAAAAATATATTGCTGAAATTTATAGAGTTAAAAGGAAACACAATAACAACAACAACTCAGCCTACAGGATCTAATATATGTAAGTGTAGCAAATGCAGAGTCCTGAATTTATTTTGCAAATATTACAAATAGCGTCCTTTTTTTTTGTCTTACAATTGCCCCAAGACCAATAAGCAAATCGTTTGTCAAAGCCTCAGCTACTTCAACCCCAACAACTTTATGAGATGACTGTGAAGGTGGAATTAAGAGAGCTCTGTGTTTAGCAAATAGTAGGTCCTCAGTAAGTGTTAGTGTCCCTTGTCCATTTTATATCTTAACCATTGAGGGACCTCAGGCCCATAGAAAGTAAGTATCTCAATTAAGGGCATACCACTTGAGAGCTGCACATTGTATAATTCTAAAAGGTTCATAGTACCTCCTTTTACATTTGAAGTTCACTCTTGGCTTTTCCAATTTGTCGGGGAACTGCCTATTCTCTGTGTAGCCAAAAGAGTTTCCTTATGGTAGGAAAATCACACCTCCAAAATATCTCCCTGAGTTAAAGCTTGTCCAAATCAACTCAATTCAATATCATTATAACTCACCTTGCCTGAAGTTCTTGAGTTTGTGTTTTGGAGGAAGAAGTACGTTTACAGAGACACCATTCCCGGTGAAAAAGTTCACTGAATTATTTTAATTGTTTAAGCACCAAACTGTGCTCCCATAGTCTATGTGACAAGATCAGATCACTGAGCAATAGGCCTTGCGTCAAACCAAAACTCTTCCTAACATGAGAATATTGTTTTATCTGCCAAAATTCATGAGAAATAAATTTCTGAGAATACTTTGCAACATTTGTTACTCACAACTGGTCATTGTCTTTATGTTGAAATTAGAAAAGCACTTCACCCTCTCTTGTGAAATATTTTTCTGTTTGTATATGTATTGCTTAGTTAAAACACTTTTCTTTCCTATTTCCTTGTTCCATTGAAAGCAGAATGAACATTTTAAGCTTAACTCCTTTGATTTCTACTGTCAGAAGACAGAAGGAGGAGTGCTATAATTTATTTGCGGAGCCTTACGTCATCAAGTCTTAGATA